TTGGATCTTTGTACCAGTGTATACGTCATGTGGGATAGGTTGGATATTTGTACCAGTGTATATGTCATGTGGGGTAGGTTGGGTCTTTGTACCAGTGTATACGTCATGTGGGGTAGGTTGGGTCTTTTTACCAGTGTATACGTCTTGTGGGGTAGGTTGGGTCTTTGTTCCAGTGTAAACGTCATGTGGGGTAGGTGGATCTTTGTACCAGTGTATACGCCATGTGGGGTAGGTTGGGTCTTTTTACCAGTGTATACGTCATGTGGGGTAGTTTGGATCTTTGTACCAGTGTATACGTCATGTGGGGTAGGTTGGATCTTTGTACAAGTGTATACGTCATGTGGGATAGGTTGGATATTTGTACCAGTGTATACGTCATGTGGGGTAGGTGGTATCTTTGTACCAGTGTATACGTCATTTGGGGTAGGTTGGATCTTTGTACCAGTGTATACGTCATGTGAGGTAGATTGGATACTTGTACCAGTGTATACGTCTTGTGGGGTAAGTTGGGTCTTTGTACCAGTGTATACCTCATGTGAGGTAGGTTGAATCTTTGTACCAGTATATACTTCTTGTGGGGTAAGTTGGATCTTTGTACCAGTGTATACGTCATTTGGGGTAGGTTGGATCTTTGTACCAGTGTATACGTCATGTGAGGTAGATTGGATACTTGTACCAGTGTATACGTCTTGTGGGGTAAGTTGGGTCTTTGTACCAGTGTATACCTCATGTGAGGTAGGTTGAATCTTTGTACCAGTATATACTTCTTGTGGGGTAAGTTGGATCTTTGTACCAGTGTATACGTCATTTGGGGTAGGTTGGATCTTTGTACCAGTGTATACGTCATTTGGGGTAGGTTGGATCTTTGTACCAGTGTATACGTCATTTGGGGTAGGTTGGATCTTTGTACCAGTGTATACGTCATGTGAGGTAGGTTGAATCTTTGTACCAGTATATACTTCTTGTGGGGTAAGTTGGATCTTTGTACCAGTGTATACGTCATTTGGGGTAGGTTGGATCTTTGTACCAGTGTATACGTCATTTGGGGTAGGTTGGATCTTTGTACCAGTGTATACGTCATGTGGGGAAGGTTGGGTCTTTGTACCAGTGTATACGTCATGTAGGGTAGGTTGGATCTTTGTACCAGTGTATACGTCATTTGGGGTAGGTTGGGTCTTTGTACCAGTGTATATGGGTCTTTTTACCAGTGTATACGTCATGTGGGGTAGGTTGGATCTTTGTACAAGTGTATACGTCATGTGGGATAGGTTGGATATTTGTACCAGTGTATACGTCATGTGGGGTAGGTTTTGTGTTTGTACTAGTGTATACGTCACGTGGGGTGGGTTGGGTCTTTATACCAGTGTATACGTCATGTGTGGTAGGTTGGATCTTTGTACCAGTGTATACGTCATTTGGGGTAGGTTGGATCTTTGTACCAGTGTATACGTCATGTGAGGTAGATTGGATACTTGTACCAGTGTATACGTCTTGTGGGGTAAGTTGGGTCTTTGTACCAGTGTATACGTCATGTGGGGTATGTTGGATCTTTGTACCAGTGTACACGTCATGTGGGGAGGGTTGGATCTTTGTACCAATGTATACGTCATGTGGGATAGGTTGGATCTCTGTACAAGTGTATACGTCATGTGGGGTAGGTTGGATCTTTGTACAAGTGTATACGTCATGTGGGATAGGTTGGATATTTGTACCAGTGTATACGTCATGTGGGGTAGGTGGTATCTTTGTACCAGTGTATACGTCATTTGGGGTAGGTTGGATCTTTGTACCAGTGTATACGTCATTTGGGGTAGGTTGGATCTTTGTACCAGTGTATACGTCATTTGGGGTAGGTTGGATCTTTGTACCAGTGTATACGTCATTTGGGGTAGGTTGGATCTTTGTACCAGTGTATACGTCATGTGAGGTAGATTGGATACTTGTACCAGTGTATACGTCTTGTGGGGTAAGTTGGGTCTTTGTACCAGTGTATACCTCATGTGAGGTAGGTTGAATCTTTGTACCAGTATATACTTCTTGTGGGGTAAGTTGGATCTTTGTACCAGTGTATACGTCATTTGGGGTAGGTTGGATCTTTGTACCAGTGTATACGTCATGTGGGGGAGGTTGGGTCTTTGTACCAGTGTATACGCCATGTGGGGTAGGTTGGGTCTTTTAACCAGTGTATACGTCATGTGGGGTAGTTTGGATCTTTGTGCCAGTGTATACGTCATGTGGGGTAGGTTGGGTCTTTTTACCAGTGTATACGTCATCGTACAAGTGTATACGTCATGTGGGGTAGGTTGGATCTTTGTACCAGTGTTTACGTCATGTGAGGTAGGTTGAATCTTTGTACCAGTATATACTTCTTGTGGGGTAAGTTGGATCTTTGTACCAGTGTATACGTCATTTGGGGTAGGTTGGATCTTTGTACCAGTGTATACGTCATGTGGGGTATGTTGGATCTTTGTACCAGTGTTTACGCCATGTGGGGTAGGTTGGGTCTTTGTACCAGCGTATACGTCATTTTGGGTAGGTGGTATCTTTGTACCAGTGTATACGTCATTTGGGGTAGGTTGGGTCTTTGTACCAGTGTATACGCCATGTGGGGTAGGTTTGGTCTTTGTACCAGTGTATACGTCTTGTGGGGTAGGTTGGGTCTTTGAGCCAGTGTATACGCCATGTGGGGTAGGTTGGGTCTTTGTACCAGCGTATACGTCATTTTGGGTAGGTGGTATCTTTGTACCAGTGTATACGTCATTTGGGGTAGGTTGGGTCTTTGTACCAGTGTATATGTCATGTGGGGTAGGTTGGGTCTTTGTACCAGTGCATACGTCATGTTGGGCAGGTTGGGTCTTTGTACCAGTGTATACGTCATGTGGGGTAGGTTGGGTCTTTGTACCAGTGTATACGTCATCTGGGGTAGATTGCCTCTGTTAATTTACTACTTTTTATGTAACCGTTGTCTGGTCCTTAAATTATAATCAATAATATATAAAGGGAACATTTCATTTCATTGTGCGATACAGTTAGGCAAGTATATTACATTTGTATCGTATTTTACGAAATCTTTTTTTATATAGGACATCATCTCTGTTCTCTTGTAGGTTTTCACAACACCGGGATACCTCAAGAAAAGATACGGAGGAAAGAGGATACGGATCTACTCCTCCATATTTGCTCTCATTGGATTCGTTCTGTTCAATATATCCGTAGGTATAGTGAATCGATACGACTGTCTTTGGTAAAATGTAAAAGTAAGTGTAGCATGAACGTCAGCAAACGTTGAAATGTATCGTTAGTATCTTTATCATAAAGTGCTACATTACAAAAAAATCAACACATGACGCCTTGAAATATATGTTCATCCTTATTGATAGTAATACAACTTAGAGGGTTATTTTTCAATCGGTTGGAAAGAAAGAACCGTGAAGTGTTAACTTACACTGATTAAGTATTCCTCATTGAGTTTTCGTAAATGTATTTCACGCTATAAATATCGTATGTTCTATATGAGTAGAGATATAGTCTTTAAAGGTACACATACTTCTCTGGAGTAGTACAGATACTACATGTACTCTGAATGGGTTCAGATGGGAATAACTCAAACAGTTGTCAAACGCGGATTTGATTATGTAAATATGGTATAGTCTATACTGATAGATACATGTATATACACTAGGAGAGTATTGCTCAATCATTTGTTAAGTGTGTCTTTTACAGATAGAGATATATTCTGGAGGAGTATTCCTCAAACAGCTGTTAGGCTGGAATATGTACCTGAGTGTAGTCCTCATCCTTCTTGTCACGGCAGCGTACACCATTGTAGGTAAGATTTATCCTACGATATCAAATGATGAACACAATTTCAACTAAAAAATAATCCAAAACAATTTCCGTCTGTATGATGTAACCAAGGTCATGGTCTTCTTTCCCTATCATAGAAAATAAAAATAACCATTCTGGTATCTTGGTTTGTTTATTTATCTTAAATGACGTTATGACCATCGTTTTGTAAATACGTTCTTTTGCATTTTCAAATGCAAACTGAAGTGTTTACCCTACAAATGTATAATGTAGTAAAGCATCAAATAAAACACTAATTTAAAGATAATCTAAAGGATTTTAAGACAGCACAGAACACGCGTTGAACCTACTTTAGTTCTATTGTTCTGTTTTTGAGGTGGTCTCACGTCTGTTATTTACACTGACACCCTCCAAACAGTGGTCCTGCTGACCGGATCTATAGTGCTGTTTGTCTTGTGTAAGTAAATTGTGTAACACAGAACATGGGTGATGAAACATTAGCAAAACTTTGATATTACATATTTCCAAACTGACGAATCTGATTGAAAAAACCCTGTAAAAAAAAGTATAAAAGAAATAACTATATTTTGCACTGTTTTAATTACAATACTTAACTAGTCTGCTATGCCCTTGCCATATTGCTAGGGGTATAATGCAAAATTAACATAGATTCGCCATATGGGTTTTAAATATTGCGACAACTGATTACACGTACATTTTCTCATTGTTGAATCGCTCAGCGTACTTAGAAGTTGGAGGCTGGGACGGATTACACGATAAATACATGATGGCCGCCGCAAACGAAACATTGATGAATACGACGTTTTACGCGTGTGGACTTCCTAGGGAAGACTCGTTTACTATCCTACGTAGTCCAATGACGGGAGATGTACCTTGGACCGGCTCATTGTTTGGGTTGTCTACCCTTGGTCTGTACGTCTGGTGTCACGACCAGGTAATTTCGAATACAAAACGCGAAGAAAATACAAAGAGTATCCTTTTTTATGACAATGTTATTGGTATTCCTCGTTAATACTTCCTGCAATAAACTAACACACACACATTTATGTTAACATTATCGGTATCAAAACAGTTGATCGTACAAAGATGCCTAGCAGCAAAGTCCATATCACATGCAAAGGCTGGGTCATTATTGGGAGCCTGCCTTAAGATTCTCCCCTTCTTTTTGTACCTGATACCTGGTATGGTTAGCAGGATTTTATACCCAGGTAAGAACATAATTGAAATGCAGTCTTTTAATTAGCAATCCTTCGCTCTGTCGTATGTTATTTGGTACGTTTTTGCTCATCGTAAGAGAGCAATTTGAACATCTAAATAGGATTGTAAGTTTTTAACTTATACACTTATTTGGAAGGGATCATACATGTATATGATTCAGCCTAAATTAATATAAGTGTTAAGGACAGTGTTATTTTTCAAACGTTGAAATTTTGATAAATTTGTACTGTTCGCTGTCAGTGTAGCTTCATGTAGATTTTCTATATTTAGTTACTTTTGATCTATGTCACATAAGTTAAAATGAGCTATATGAGATGTCAGGATGCTGATGAGGCGTTATTAACTGTAAATCATCAAAACCCAAATTAAAAAGATTAATAACATCACAGTTGTCACTACACACAGACGAAGTAGCATGTGCTGATCCTGATACGTGCAGTAGACTTTGTGGTAACCCCGCAGGCTGTTCAAATATGGCCTATCCGTTGATGGTACTGCGATTCCTACCTTCAGGTATGGTATACATATTTAGGATATGTACTAAATGAAGATGTTGCATTATGTCTCAATTGTTTTCCCCAATCTACTTTCGCGACTTTAATATTTAGTTATCAGACTTTTATAATTCCTCACATATAAGAATAATAAAATATGTAAATAGAGTAAAAGGATATTGGTTTATAACAGTTAACACGCCCATTTCCTGCATCTACCAATTAAAGAATGTAAGTGACATGTTTGATTTACTAGGAATATGACTGAAAACAATCCAATTAATTGTTGTAATAATTGTCATACCTCAGATCTTAATGACGTAAGTTTTCTCCACGTTAAGGGCTCCGTGGATTGATGTTGGCCGCCCTCATTGCTGCTCTGATGAGTTCTATGACCTCAATCCTAAACAGTGCCAGTTCCATAGTGACACTAGACATTTGGTGTGTAGCAAGGAAGAAAGCTTCTGAAAGGGAGCTGATGATAGTGGGAAGGTTGGCAGTGCTAGTGTTGGTGGCCATTAGCGTTCTATGGCTTCCAATTCTTGAGAAGGTACAGGGAGGAATGTTCTGGTTTTATATGCAGTCCATCCGCTCCTATCTGATTCCACCATGGTGCATGCTCTTCATGTTAGGAGTTTTCTGGAAAAAGACTACGGAGTCGGTAAATACTAAATGTTTTAAATTCATCACATGCATTACGTTGTTATAATGTTTACAAATAACAGAAAAAAGGTAGAATTGAATTTTTTATTTCAATGCCAATCATCTAAGCAAACTTTCTTAAATACATTACCTTTAAATGATAATTTGTATTTCTGTTCAAAAACTTAGTTTAATATATTTCCCAGAACAATGGTCCATATCGAATTAGAAAATATCTTACATAGCACATACTCAATGTAGCTGAATGCATAATTATAAGGAACAAATTGTGTTGTTGAGTATGGTTTCTTTGTAGGGTGGATTTTGGGGACTTATTCTCAGCCTTATAGTGGGTGTAGTACGGATGGTGTTGGATTTTACCTATACTGCACCTTTATGTGGAAGTGGGGAACCAGACGAACGTCCCAGTATAATTGCTGACGTTAACTTCCTTCATTTTGCAATAATTTTGGCTTTGTTTACAACGATATGCATGGTTGTCATTAGCCTTCTCACTGAGCCGCGACCAGAACGAAAGGTGATGTATTACTCTATTGAGGTGTGATTAAGCATTTATCTACTGTGTCTGAATCAATAGTTATACCACGATATTTCAAACTTATTGCATTTACATCACTTGTTTCCATACAATCACATACTGCGGAATGTACAGTCAAACATGTGTAAAATAATCATTTGTGTGAGGACCCCCGTACCACTGTCAACACCTGTAACCATCTATTGTAGAAAGGTGTAACGTTCCGGGGTCCGTACCCTAGTCACTTCTAAGGATCCCTGTGCTGTAAGCTTAATTATAACTATACTACAGTTGCAAATATATACAAATATGTGTTACTACCTTGTAACCAGCATACCCATTACCTAATACTTAATACATGATATGAACAGAATAATTACTGCACGACTATAGAACTAATACCAAAGCTATCTGCTCTTTATCAATATAACACACTACACACACTACCGTACAATCCAGGCAG